GAACTCTGCAAAAAACGCATCTTCGCACGGGCAGCCCGTGCGTTGGCCAATTTTTTTTTTTTTTTTACTATAAACCTCGCTCGCGACAGGATTAGGACCTACAAAATCCAGTATCAGACAATGTTTCCACCGTGTGAATAAGCTGAGCTGGGCTGTTCACGTATTTATAAATCTTAATATTTTTTGCCTCAAATTTGTGCAGTTTTTCAGTCTTACTTGTGACGCTCGGATGGTTTCGATGTTCCAGATTTTGATGCTTGCTGTGCAGATGTTGTTAGTAATGGTGGTGCTGCTGCTGTTGTTGTTGTTGTTGCTGCTGTTGTTACTGCTGTCGAGGAATTACCATCCGAATGACCAAATGAGACGTTACTCTCAAGCAATTTCTTGCGATGATGAGATCCTGAAAAGACAGACATGCCAAAAAATAAAAATCGAGCAGACGATCTAAAACTAACAAAAATAATACTTTGAAAGTTTCTAAAATTTAGGAAAAAGTCTGAAAAGTTCCAAGACATTTCCGAAATAATTTCTTGCACTAAACACAATTTGCCTCAACCAAATTACCTTCAGTACCCGTTTTCTCGACTTTTCGATATTTCATTTCTCTTTCGTAGCTGTCATCCAGCCTAGGCCTTTTGTGCCGATCGTGCTCTCCAGATGCGATAGATTGCTGCTGCCTGTTATTAGACGGTGGCAATTTTGCTGAATTTGGAACCGATTTTGGTAAGTTCGTTGATTTTGGAGCAGCTGCTGATTTCGACGGATGTGCTGGTGGGAATTTTGAAGATTCACCGGATTTCGTCGTGGTGTGTTCAGTCTTGCTTTGTTTTTGTTTCTCTGCAAAATATCACAGATATCTTTACCTAATTCATATTTCCTTTTCCACATCTCGTACGTACTCACATATGCACACATATACAAGAACACGTACAGACACACACAACAATACGGTAGTCTTGGATGTCCCAAAACGAAAATTTACCATTTGCAATAATTGGAAGAGGAGGCAATTCGAACTCTTTGCTGGCAGTTTGCGGCAGCACATCCGGCAGCATGAAATTGTGGCGTTGCGGATTGTGTGATGGCGCATTTTGAGATGAACTGGGCGCTGCTGCAAAGCAAGGAAAACACTCGAATTTCTCATCTTCTTTTGAAAAAAAAAGATTTGAAAAAACTAAAAACCAATACCTAATTTCCTAGACCTGAAAAAAAAAATCGCAGAAAATCGCCTTTTGCAGGCTGCCCGCATTCTCGTAGTACCTTTTTCAATTTGCCCTTAAAAATTTCAAGCTTACGTCCTCCGCCGGAAGCAGCTATACAGCAGTAGTAACAGTAGTTCAGGTTGCCGCTGCTTCTCGAAGCGGATGACGACACAGACTGCACGTAGCACGTAGATGAGAACTCTTGGTACAACCGTTCAACTTAGAAAAATCGTATGTTACTTCTTTTTTAACGCCATGTCGTCTTCTTAACTGTTCACTTAGTCATAGCTCACACAGATTGCCAATTCCCCAGATGCGACAAATCTCAGTTCCGCAGTTATTCAAGAGTACGCACTAGCTCACAAAACCTCTTTTTCAGAATGAGGGGAAATCAAAAATACTAGACGGATCAGCTCTATCGCCACCTTTATAAAGCAATATCGTCCGGCCTTTGCAAAACCAGGAACAGGGAACTTTCCCGCTATTCAGCATTTGCAGTGCGAGCCTACCGAGTCGAGTGTAGACCCACGGAAGCTTTCCCCACCAAAAGGCCTGGATCTCGCTAGGGCCCGCAGCCTTTCAGGGATTCATCTGACGCACGGCTGCGTCAAAAGCTCCCTGAAGCCGACCAAGCTCGAAAGCCCTGGATGTCGGATATTCGCGCTACATTTTCTCTTTTCATGCGCGGGAGCTGCGGTATTGCCTCCGGGTCCTAGCCGACCTTCGTTTCGACGAGATTATGCCAGAATTTATGAACCGCTGACACTGTTTTTCGCGACGGTTAGCGCATCGCTGGAGAAGCCTCAAGCTTTTCTGGGCCTAGAAATTTTCCTGAAAGATTTGGTATAATTTTTGCTCTCTGAGGCTGATTCTGGCCCGGAGTAACTGCCTTCTCTGGATGGTCATTTCCAGTATTCGCTTTAACTCCGAGGTGCTTCGTGGCAGAAATTAAATGAAATGAAAAATTCGAGGCATACTGGGTTACAAAGCAGGAAAACATTTTATTCCAATAAAAACCAATTTACCACTGTTTCGTAGCTTGTAATCATGGAAGTCAATACGTCGCGCTGGTTCAGCTTTTACAGCCGGAGCCGCTGACGCTGCAAACTGAGGTGCAACTGGTGGAGGTGGCAACGCGGCAATCGATGCTGGAGCTGAAACTGGAATCGGACCTTCTGCAAAAATAAAATTTTGCAAGCAATGAGAGAACAGAAGAGGGAACGAAAACGACCAGGACGAAGAAAGGAATGGAAAAGGAAAGGAGAGGAAAGAGATCCAGGATGTTCTGCGGATAATCCGCAACAAGCCCTGATGTTACAGGCCTTCGTTTTCTAGATAAAAACGAAAACTTGCGATTTTGCCCGGGCCATTGTTGCTGTTGAGCTTGAGACACATTCTGCGGCGATTCCCTCAGCGAGCTACGCATTGCATATTTCTTGATGTTCAATGACTCACCGTGCTTCTTGTAGATGTGCGAAAATTCCTCTGTCAGTCCTAAAATAAACTTAACTCTTGCACTGAAAAACACCAGGCGAGCCGGTGCGATCATGCGTTTTTGCATCAAACTTTGAGGTACTCCATCCTACGCTTGCCTCACCCCCTCCACTCGCTATTCTCGCCCCATCCCTTCCCCCGCCCTTGCCCTGGATATCCGCCTTCTGCAAGCGGTGATATTGTGCTGCATTATACAGCACGTTTACAAAGCGGTATTCCGTGAGTACGGTACCGTGAGTCCAAAGCCCCTGCTGAGCGGTTTAAAGCT